CCCGTGCTGACCGTGGCCGCGGCCCGGCGGAGGGAGGCTCTGCAGTCCAGAGGGACAGGGAGGGAGGGGGCCCGCCCGGGGCTGCACATCCGTGGCTTCCTGGGCTGTTCCCAAGGCGCTTTGGGAACATTTTGGGGGTGGGGTGGGGAGGCTGCAGCCAGAGAGCGGCTGCCCCTGGGCGCTGTGCCCTGGCGCTGGCGCCTGCCCCTCGGTGCCCTGGGACGGGATCCAGGCCCCAGCCATGCCCTGCTTGTCCCTTGTCCCCCCTCCCCAGCCCTCAGAGCCTCTCTGTCTCGCCCAGGAAATGAGGGTAGTGTCCGGGGCCTGGGCGGCCAGCGGACGGGGTGGGTCAGCTTGTTCTCCCCGGGGACGGGTGCCCAGGACAGTTCTCGGGCCAGCTGGCCGCTCTAGCCTGGGAGGCAGGAAGAGAGAGCCAGTTAATGACCATGGCCCTGCCAGCTCAGGGTGCGGGGTGGGCCGGAGGGCAGCAGCCCCTGAAGAGGAGGCAGCGGTCAAGGCCTCGTGAACTCCTGAAACCAGCCCCGGTCAGGTTGGCGCCAGTGACCTGGTGGCCGTAGGAGAGCTACCTGCCCGTCCTGGGTGTGCTCAGCAGTCTTTCACCAATGGCCCCTCCGCGCCGGGCCCTGGGGCCCTGGGAAGAGGCTCCTTTCCTGCCCTTGGAGGCCAGCTGTGCCTCTGCCCGGCTGTGTGACCTCGGGCGAATCACTGGCTCTCTCTGAGCCTCGGGCCCTCAGCGTTAACCTGGAGACGGGTGGGTGTCAGACCCCCGCACGCTGTGGGTGAGATTCGTGTGCACCAGGCGCTCTGTGACCCTGGAGGAGGCTGAGCGTGGGGTTGGGGGGCGGGGGAGCTGCAGCCCTTCCGACTGCGGGTGCAGACAGACCCCGGTCTGCTGCCGACCCAGCCCCAGTGCACGGGCCAGGGCAGCGCCCAGGGACCTGTGGGCCCTCCCCTGTGGGACGCTCCCTGGGGTGAGGGGCACAGGGCCACTGCCGCTGCACCGGGCTGGTCCGGGGCTTCCTGTCCTGGCCCAGCTGGACCTGAGGTGAAAGTGAGGTAACCTCAGAGCCCAGCTCCTCACGCTGTGTCTCCCCAGACACGGAGCCCCGGGGAGCGTCTTCGAGCTCCTAGAGGAGGAACCGAGGTGCAGAGGGTTTCAGACGTGTGACACGTGTGTGGACATCACGGTGGCCAGTAAAACAGGCCGCCTGGCCACAGGGACGGCGAGAAGGCAGACCCCGAGTTACCTGCCTCCGAGTGGCTATCGTACCTGGGGAGGGGGCAGCTGGGGACCTGGGGCTGCACTGTGGGCTCGGGCTGAGCTTGGGGGAGACCCCTGCCAGCCTTCGGAAGCCTGTGGTCTGAGGGGACAGGCAGTCCTGAGACTCCGCCCCATTCAGCAAGCAGAGCCCAGTCCAGGGGCCAGGGAAAGCAGGGCAGGCCTTCCGGAGGAGGTGGCCCCGAGTTTGGTCCCGGAGGATGCCAGGGGCATGGAAGTGGGTGGGCCAGGCTGACGAGTGGGCCATGCAGAGGTGAGCCGCAAGCATCACGCCCTCTCCCCTCTCTCCCTTCCAGATGCAGAAGCAGGTTTGCCGGGGCACCACCCCCTGTGCCTTCCAGGTTTGTGCCTGACGGCTGGCCCTGGTGTTGTCCCGTCCTCGCTGCTGTCGTGCTGCGTGTAGAGGAGCTGGGCGTGCTCCGCCGGGGAGGGCGGCCCCACGGTCTGTGTTAGTGTCCTGGACTGACAGCGCTCCAGGGGCCTTAAACAGACACCCCTTTTCCCCGCCCTGGAGGCTGGAGGCCCAGACCACGGGGCAGTAGGGCGGCCGTCTCCTCCCCGTGTCCTCACAGGGTCGTCCCTCTGTGTGTGTCTGTGTCCTAAGCTCTTCCTTTTAATATATTTGTATTGACTTCAGAGAGGAAGGGGGAGGGAGAGAGAGAGAAACATCAATGATGAGAGAGAATCGTGGACCAGCTGCCTCTTGCACGCCCCCTACTGGGGATTGAGCCCACAACCCAGGCACGTGCCCTTGACCGGGACCTAATCTGGGACCCTTCCGTCTGCAGGCCGACGCTCTATGCAGCTAGGGCAAGCATGTCAGACTCAAAGGCGAACACGGGCCAATTAAACAAGGTTTACGTGTATGTGGCCGCAAAAAAACAGAAGCTTCAATTTTCATAGAAACGTAGGTTTATTTCGATAGAGACGTGCTGAAGACAAAGGGTTGAGATAAAGGAGTCACCGTTAATGAGTATTTGTTGTGGGCCACACGCGGCCCGCGGGCCACAAGTTTGACATGTTGAGCTAGGGCTTACTCTCCCCTTGTAAGGACTCCTCACATTAAGTCAAGGCCCCACGTAGCTTAATTAGGGCTTTTAAGGCCTGTCTCTAAACACAACCCTGCTCTGGGCACTGGGCTGAGGCCTTCCGCATGCGAGTCAGGGACACCACTCGGCCATAACGAGGCCCGTCCAGGCTGCTGGTGCTGCAGCGGGTGTGGGTGCTGAGGGGGGCGGCCAGAATCAGGGGGACAGGGGTCTGCTTAGGAAAGGAGAGGGGAGGGCGCAGGGGTGTGGGGAAGGGGTCCGCACTATTGGCTGGGAGGCCCTGCACTGAGAGGGTTCCGTTTAGACGGGCGAGAGGGAGAGCTAGTGGGGCTGGCCAGGCAGGGCCACGCTGGGCCAGGTGAGGGGAGCGGCAAGCCACGCCCTGCAGGTGGATGGACACAGGTGCGGTCATCGGGT